TCTCCAGCTTCCCCTAACCCTAAACTCCCCTGCCACCGCCGGCCCCCGATGCCACCAGGCACCAGCCACCACCACCCTACCCAGCCATCTCCCCCAACCCCCTTTACACCCCCAAACCTAGCCCCATGGATACGGATTCTCTGTTGTGCCACTGCCCCATCCTAGATCTGAAGTGTTAGACGATGATGAAGCTCCCATAGTCAAACAGAATAAGGAGAAACAGAAGCAGAGACACGCCGACAGCAACTACAATGTACTGGACGATGGCAACCACGCCATACAAGGACGACAACCTGGGTGCGATGACTTGGAAGTTGGAATCGACAGCCTGGAAGCAGCGATGTAGAATCAAAGCCACAATATGGCGGTGCAACCCATCACCTCCGCTGCATCTTTGTCCTTTAATTTGTCGTTGGAGGCAGAATTGGATCTGGGAGATGAAGAGCTTGGGAGATGGAGACGTTTGTGAAACAGCTTTTGAGATGAGAGGGTCGGGCAGCGAAAAAGGTTACTAACGTTGGACACTTTTTTGTCCTTCCCTAAATTAGTCACATTTTATCTAATGAAACCCTAGAAGTAATATCTAGGCCATTATATCTTAATTAAAATAGCCTCTCAGTTCTCAAACGTACAAAAAACTGAATGTGTTTCCCCCCTCATGTGATTACATCGAGCGCTTTTTAGCACAACAGTGCTTCTGCACTTCCCCGCAGACCTGCACCCAAGGCAGGTTGCTGTTTCTGGAATTCTTTCAGTCGCTAGGATTCATATGCGCCTCGCCTGGTGCGCCTAGGCACACAAGCACTCGTTTTTTTACTACATTGTGCATTTGTGCATTTACTAGAGTGCATCAAATAAGCAACACATTGATGGTATTAACACTCCCATTGTTGAGCACATCAAAGTTTAACAATTTCACATACATGTCAATCATATATGATACATAGGCATACGAATCAAACCACAAGTTAAAAAGATTGTATTGAGAGGATGAATGTCTGGCTATGTGCACAATCAATAGCAGCAAGAAACTTTAAATACCAAACATCTTAAGATTAACTCACAGTGCCTTATAGAGGTCGGTAATCTTAGGATCCTGGAACCAAACGCCAGCAAAAGTTATTCCAATACCACAGACTAGAGATATAACAGATGGGAAAAACAGTGAGAGATTAGACTAGCAATACTACATAACAATTATTATTATTACCAAGTATTATAGTAACAATGCTAATTCAATAAAACAAAGGGGCTCAATATCATGAAAAACTTTACGGCTCATTTTACAAGTTATTTGCCTGAATTTTCTGACAGGAAAAACGTTTGCTAGCACAGATATCTCAGCAAGATAAATAAATAATAAGCGCTACATGATCTGCCAAAAAAAGAACAAGCCTCCGACTACTAACCGGCGCCTCAATTACTGAAAAGTCGGTATAAGACAGTCTTAGTTAGAAAGTAACTACTACTAAGAACCATCCCCAGGTGTGTGTTAAAACTTCTTATGTCAAAAGTAACATAAAATGTGGTTCAATAACCTGCTTATTTACTAAGAACCATTCCCACATGTCAAAGCTCTCTCATCACGCACGCAGGCACATAATAGAATAATGAAAAATGTGTATGCAACATTGATTGCTGCAGATGCAATGTAAAATAATATAACCATTTACTCCGACACAGCAACAAAACATCAGTTGATCACAATAATAGAAGAGAAAATCTACTCTTTAAAAAGCAGAGATGTCATCAAGCTAAAGACACAACATACATGACAATCAATGAAGAGCATATGAAGACACACCTCATGCCAGTGTAAGAAGAATCGCGCAAATGTGAATACAATTACTATGCTTAAAGGGACATTGTCACATATGGTTATCATTCCACAAAGATCATCACCATAACATAAATCGCATTATGCATCAGCTAAGTGATACAGCCATGTTAATTAATCAGCATGAAAATCCACTTCAAAGTTCAAACAGCAAGCTTGTCACAGACAAACCCCATTTGATGTTCCAAACCTTCATTATGATAACAAAGATTCAGTCTTGACCCTAATATAACCCACTTTCATCTTCTTCTTCTTGATTTCCCCCCTCTTCCCTTTCCATATCGTGATATAAAATAAAAGTAAAAATTAGGAAATCGAATTGGTTACAATGAAGATTCACCACCTTTTGCCGTCAGAGACAAAGATCTGTGAATGGAAGCTCATCATAGGCTTTGGCATCCTCTAATCCCTCTGCGGGGAGCATGTTCAGATCGAAAGGCAAGTGCTTTCTTGAAGAAGATGCGATATAGTCACAGTCCATGTCATCAACAATGGAGGAGGAAGAATCGCAGTCGCTGTGGCAATCATCTGGAACTACTAATGGACGAGAAGGTACCGCCGTGGAAAGCCGGGGAGGCCGTGGCCCGCTGAAGGACTCCACCGTGCTACTCATGCCGCTGGTTGTCTGCCTCTGGGAGATAACAGGATGATCCTGCGGGAACATCTGTTGATCGACGAATGATGAATCGCTTAACCGATGGCTAAATTGATTGTTTCGATAAGGAGATAGATGAATAGGAGGAGGAGGAGGAGGAGAAGGCGACGGGAAGTTAGTCTTGGCTTTTGGACCACGGAGATTACGAGCAGCGGCGTCATAGGCTCGAGCGGCGGCCTCTGCCGAGTTAAAGGTCCCGAGCCATACACGGGTTTTCTTCCAAGGGTCTCTGATCTCAGCCGCGAATTTCCCCCACGGTCTCTTTCTCACTCCCCTGAACCTGATCTCCTTGGATCCACCGGATCTGTTGATTTCTCCGACACCGGGATCTTCCTCCGGTGACTGCTTGAACTGTGGAGGTGCTCTGCCACCCCGCATCGTCCAGGTCAAAGAAGAAAAAGATTAGATCTTCTTCTCTGTTGATGGAGAAGATCTAGGCTTGCTTTGTAGATGAAAAATCAAACAAGTAACGTCATGGGAAATATGACGATCGTGGGAAGATCTTACCCTACGATCTCCTCCCCTTCTCTCTCAGCTTCAGAGTTTCTCTCTCTACTGCGTGTGGTTGTTTGGGGGAAGAACAGAAGGAGGGGGTGGGGCAGTGGAAGAGGGGAGAAGGGGACATTGTGGGTATTTTCACCATCTCTTTATTATCATTATGATGGTCGGTAAGGGTTGGATAAAACCTTTCCAACTGCTAACCGGTTCTTCCATTTTTTTTTGGAAGAAAGTAGAGAATTTACCCTAAATGGGACTAAATAGACTTCCTAATTCCAAAAGGGGAAAGGGCCAAAATGGACACTGAGGTTTTTAATGAAGTGCGTTTTGGACATTAAGGTTTTTATTGGATCAAATAAACACCAAATTAAACTTTTTAGACCTCATCGCCCACCCCCTAACAGTTCCCGTTAACCAGCTTCTCTTCCCCGTTATCACCCAGGTCCCTGCGATTAGAAGCTCCCAAATTGAAAACAACCCTAATTGATATATACCTAATAAATACAATCTCTAACAGATGACGAAGAAGAAAGCATTGATGTCGGATACTCCTTCAGCATCGAGGTTATCTGAGGCACGAAAATCTGAGTCCGGTGATTCAGTGAAGCTTCGAAGCATCTATGAGCGACCGTATACTGGGCGTTCAAGGTTTTGCAGATGCATGAGTACAAATGGAACTCGCGTCAAGGCGCCACTTTGGACTTCATGGACTGACAAGAATCCAGGTAGAAGATTTCATGGATGTCCTTATTATGAGGTATGCTTGTAATTGTTATTTTCACATATGAGAACTGGAGAAGACCATGAATATGTATAATTTATTTATATTCATTTTGATATTCATACCCTTGTGTATACTCAGAAGGATGGATGTGGCTTCTTTGAATGGCATGATGAGCCATTAACGGACAGAGCAAGACATGTTATCAATGAGCTCAAACGGGAGAATAGGAGACTCCAAGCTGCATTGTTTGAACTGGAATGTGATAGTGTTGCTGAAAAGTTGGAGAGTGAAGTTGAAGAAGTCAGCCGTAGGAATGATGCAGCCTATCTGGATTTGGAAAGAAAAACCAAAATGAAGAAGAATTATGTTATTGTACTGTTGTTGTGTGTCCTTATTGTAGTATTATGTGTGTTTGTATTTTAGTTTTAGTTTTTTGTAAACTGGTGTGGTTATAACCTTGTAAACAGTTTACAATTTATGCACTACTGAATTTGAATTGTTGTTAAGACTTTGGTTTGGTTGTTAATAAGAAAATATGTTGGTCTGGTTGTACACTTCAGTTTTTAGACTTCAGTTTGAGAGCATGAATGCAAAACCTAAAAACCAGTTTGAGAGCAGGTGGTCAAAAGCATAGCTGGGCAGAACCCATGCTAATGAGATCCCAAATATGCTCCCTAATTCATAATATTAGCTGTCCTTGTTTGCAATATGAAATCCTGACCAGCATTTTCCCACTAGATGAGAGTATGAGACTGCCTATATGGATCAAGCACCACCATTCATGAATAACACGTTGGCTAATATCATAACCAAACTGAAATACATGAATAACAGAGTAATATACATGACCAGGTTGGCTAATATCATAAACAACACATATAAACACACATGACCTGATTCACACAGAGTAATACATGGATAAACAACACATATTAACACACATGAACTGATAAACAACACTATCATTTCACATCCACATGAACTGAGTGAAGTTGGAAAGAAAAACCAGTTAACTATAGGGAGTACAGAAAGCAACACAGATATAAGAACTTATATCATAACCAAACATCATTAGGGATCATAATACTGATTGTTAATGAGGTTACAAAATTCAAAAAAAGCATTATAAGCCCTAATGCAGCACCCCAAATTTGCACAATGGTTGCTTATAGTTCCAGAAGTAGTAAAACTTCATACAAAACATCTAATGCTTCTAGTCAGTCTTCATACGACTACATTGCAAAAAAGCTAATAAGCTATGAGTCTTCATTCCCCCAAATTTGAGTGTTGCTTCAACATGTTCACTTTGGAATGGAACCTGGCCTCCTAATCTGCATCTTCTGTAACAATTGCCTAGAGCTGATTGCTGCATTCCCATTCCATTGCAAACCAGGTGGTTGAAAAGGTAGGTTTGCTGGATTATGCACCTCTGTACCATCACCCTTGAAAGGTATTGTTCTATATGATGACACATCCAACTGCTTCTCAGCCCGGGCAGCCCCTCTGATATCTTTTTCATTTGGGATTGCAAATCTGACTGTAACATCAGGGTCATGTGGCATTTGAGGCTGGAAATCTGAAACTATTTCCTCACTGCTCATCCCAGGCTACAAGCATAAACAAGTAGATGAAGGTAAAATTAGAAATAAAAAAACTTATTTCAATACATCGACAAACTAAACCACTTACATAACACTGGAAACCTATTCATACTCACATTTAAAGTCTTCTCACCAGTGTTGATATCCACATAACACCCAAAGCCTGTTACAGATTGTTTACTTACATTCCTTGCTATTCTTCTACATGTGACTTTAGACTTACCAGTACTCCTTTTAGCATTAGTGTGTGGATTTGTTGGTGGAGCTGATTCTGTAGTGGTAGGAATTGATGAGAAAGCAACACTAGAAGGTCTCTTCACAGGTATAGGTGCATTCCCTTCTGCTCCTTCAACACTTGCCTAAGAAAAAGATTAAAAACTCATGAAAAAACAATAAATCAATATTGCAATTTACAACTTCAAAGTATTGTACAACTTACATCTCTATCTTTAGTAGGACATGTAGCTCTCTTATGGCCCTCCTTATGGCATATCCCACAAGTTTGTAGTCTCCCTTTTCTTGATGATGTTTGAGGTGTAGCATTGGCAGATTTAGAAGCACTTCCAGATCCTTTGACCTCAGTAGATGATCTAACCCTGTTCTTCTTTGGTCTGCCAGGTAGGTTTGGGACTGGGGGAGGTAAAATAGGTTCATAATCATCAACCTTCATGAAAGCTTTTCCAGGTACCGGTTGCAAAGCGTTTGAATATGCTGCCATATAAGTCTCCTTATGATACCATCTCGAAATGTAGGTGATAGGATCAACCTTCCTATAATAGAAAGCACATATGGCATGTAAGCATGGTATTCCAGTAAGTTCCCATGCTCTACAAGTGCACACCATCTTATCCAACACAACTGTGTGCTTATCTGTCCCCTCTCCAATCTCAAACCCCACATCCCCATTAAATATAACATTGCAGCCACTAGCAGCCTCCTTATTGTCTTGATAGTACTCCATGCATAAGGGAGACCAATCGTTTATCCACTTATCATGATTTGTCTTAAAATCTGAAATTCTTTTCATTGCCTTCAATCGTATATCTTCCAGCATGCTTACAATAGGTTTTGACCTAGCTTCCCGTATCCATGAATTGAAGGACTCTGTCATGTTATTATCAACCACCCAACATGAACTTCTACTACTAAAGTATGCTCTACACCAAGTTTGAACTGGATACTTCAAAAGCAGCTTCAGTGCTCAATTTTCCAAGCTTTTTAAGATTCAGCTGCAGCTCTTCTTCATATGTGCTCCAGGAACATATCCAAAACTTTTTGCAGAACTCATTTCCTCTCCACTTCTTTGACCAATTAGCATACACATGTCGGGCACAGAACCTATGCTCTGCATCTGGTATGACCTCTTGAGCAGCAATAATCAGCCCCTTTTGCATATCTGAAATAAGTGTTAATTCCCCACCAGTATTTAGGTCTAGCTCCTGAACAAGCCAACTCAAAAACCACCTCCAATTAGACTTATTTTCTTTATCAATGACAGCCCATGCTATAGGGACCATCTGCCCATTTCCATCCAACCCCACTGCACTCAGCAGATTACCCTTACAAACACCCTTTAGAAAGCAACCATCTACACCAATGATTCTTCTACAGCCAGCCAGCCAGTTCTGCCTCAAAGCAGCAAAGCATACAAACATTCTCTTGAATACTCTTCTCCCTTCTTTCAATGCTTCACTGCAGAGTTCAATTTCAGCTTTTGAACCTGGATTACTCCTCTTTAATGTAGCAGCATATGCTTCTAGGTACCCAAACTCAGCCTTATAACTACCATCCATCTCTTGGATAATCAACCTTTTTGCCCTTTTACATTTATACAAGCTAACATTTATCTTCAACTTCTTCTCAGCCTCCTCTTTCATGTCAGCAACTCGAAAGCTAGGATTTCTCTGCAGGTGTCCTTTAAAGTAATTTGCGAGCCACTTTTGAGTAGCACTAGGAATAGTATAGTGTCGGAAACACTTGTGCTCAGTGTTACAAATCTTCACTGCCAAGCCACAGTTCTTCCCATCTTGTGAAATCCATAATCTAAATGGGCAGCCTTCCTCATTCAAACATTTCACTGCCAGTCTATTCTTCTCATTTGGTTTGATTTTCAGCTTGTAACCATACTTAACCCCATAATTAGCAATTGGAGTCCTAGCCTCTTCAGCATCAGCAAAGGTCATTCCATTCATAAAACAATCTGACCCATCTGTTGCAGAGTAAGTGAGTGTACCATCATTATCAGAGGATGGATCAGAATTGTTGCTCTCTTCATCTTCTGAGCCTCTATTTGATTCTTCATCTGTAACATAGCCATTTGGGACACCACTTGTATTCACTTCAGCACTTTGGTCTCTCCAATCTGTATTGGCAGACTCATTACCCAGCCCACCATCATTCTCATCACCAATCTCATGGTTACCAACATCAGAAAATGAACCTTCTATAAGGGGAATCAAAATGGGTTCGTCCAGGTGATGGTCAGCATATAGTTCTATAGTATCAATCCAAGAAAATCTCCTTATACGATTTAACACTTTCCTTATAGTGTCATCATCCTGAACACAGAAAAGTCCATTGTCCAAATCCTTTCCAGGTTCTAAAACATATATATTTTTCAGTGTTTTAAACCCCAAGTCATCCTTGTATTTTCTTGAAATGTCATGATAACACATAAAATCAGGGTCAAACCCATAAACTGTATCAGCGTCCCTATCCACATACTGTAACTTTGGCTTCATAACCCACCTCCCGCTATGGTTAAATCTGAGATTAACCAACCCATTCATTGTAACGAACAAAAGCAACACTGAAAGATTACCTCAGATCAGTCGAACGTATTGTAGCCTTGGTGGTGCAGTTGAACACCTTCTAATGTTTTCAACTCACTCGCACAATCTCACACTTATTAGCCATGGAAGCGACTTAGGGTTACAATTTCCAATTTGGGAGCTTCTAATCGCAGGGACCTGGGTGATAACGGGGAAGAGTAGCTGGTTAACGGGAATTGTTAGGGGGTGGGCGATGAGGTCTAAAAAGTTTAATTTGGTGTTTATTTGATCCAATAAAAACCTTAATGTCCAAAACGCACTTCATTAAAAACCTCAGTGTCCATTTTGGCCCTTCCCCCATTCCAAAATAGGAGTTTTTGACTTTATTTCCCAAAATGGGACTTCGGTGGTCCTATTTAGTAAGTTTAGACTTTTTCATTCCTAAAATAACCCTCCTCTTTCCAGCGTATCTATTCTGTTTACCGAACTTAACGTAATCCCAAGCATAGTCATCGTCTTCTACTATGATGAATCTTCGAAGATCATGGCCTGGCCTAAACGCTTAGACGGAGCTGCAGAATATACCAAATCGATGCTGACAATGATTTCGAACCTCAGAGTTTCAATTTCGCCCATCCTTAGCTTGAAAATCGTTTGAATCGCACTTGTTCGCGATTATCTGTTCGGATTTAGCTTTTTACCAGGTATTCTCTTCTATTTTTGACTTTCGCTTATTTTTGCATATTCAGTTTCCTTGATTAACAGTTTGTTTATATAATTTCAAATTGTTCTGCGATGGATCCATGTTCTAAGATTCATCACTTCCTTTTACAGTTTTGGCATATTGATTTTTCATGGCAACTGCTGCAATGGATCGTGTTTTGCTCATAATGGTCAAGTTGGATGGTGTATGGGGGCCTGATTTTGTCTTCATGAACAAGTCTACATTAGGTATCCATGTCCCATATTGTTCCACATACTCATCACTGTTAGACATCCTTAATGACAGTGTCACTCAAATCCAATCGAATCCACGTTTTACCATATCATACCTTGTTGAATCCTGCCCCCCACCTGTTCTTGTCAATGACAATGCTAGTTTGCGCTTTTATATTGATCTTAAGACCCTTCAATCAGATTTTGCAAAATATCCTTTGTGTCTACAATTTGACAAAGAGAAACCGCCTGTTTATGCACCTGTTTTACCAGTTTGTACTCCAAATAATTTTGTCACACCTGCATCTTGTTCTAGTGTTGATACGTTCAATGCAAATACTGGTGGTTTCAACGTTGTCCATTCTCTAGATCAATACTTGCATCCTGAAGTCCATTCTTGTGTTCCTGAAAATAGTTTTGATAATGTTCTTTCATCCACACCTTCTTTCATCCACAATAATAGTTTTGATAATCATTCTAGTGTCCTGTTCAATGAAAATAACTTTGAAGAACACAGTTCATGTAGTGATGTACGTGCTGAATGTTTTGATGAGGACTCCCTTTCTTCTAGTGATGAATCTTTAGAAAATGAGTCCTCAGATGCCTTTGTCTTAAACCAGAACTGTGATGTCATTACACATTATTCTCCAATCACGCTTGTGCTCCATGGTATCTACGCGAACAAGCAAGATCTACTTTATCACCTTAGACTGTACGCGATCAATAATAACTTCCAATATTGGACAAAGACTTCAAAGAAGCATTCATTGCATGTAAAATGTTTGGACAAAGAGAATTGTAAATGGGCTGTTCGTGCTGTTAGACTCAAAGGTGTTCAACTTTTTCAGATTAGAAGGTATATTTCTTTCCCCATTCATGTTTTTTTAGTTGTTTTTTATGTATTTTAATATTCCTGTATTGTATGTTTTCTAGTTCAAAGTTGCATTGCTTTAGTGTACTGCCAGTTCACATATTGTATTTACATTCATGTATACTGTCTTTTACTTTGTACTTCCAACTGTTTTTGTATTACTTCCATCCTGTATGTGTACAGTCTTCAATTGTTGCCCTGCATGTACCTTGTTCTGTAATTTGTATATCCACCACTTTGTATTTATTCTTTTTTTTTCATACAGATTTGATGTTGATCACACTTGCTCAATAGACTTTAGGCAAGGTGTTCGTCATAGGCAGGCCAATTCTGCACTGATTGCTGAGCTTATAGCTCATCAATATATGGATGCTTCCAAAAAACCCTATACACCTAAACAAATCAGGGATGATTTGTTGTTGCAATATGGTATACCGGTGTCATACAAGAAGTCGTGGGCTGCAAAGAAGTCTGCCATGAGAAAACAGTTTGGTTCAGATTCAGAGCAATACCAATTGTTGCCATCGATGGTCCATATGCTTCGCCAAGCTAATTCAGGATCTGACGTCTTCCTCATTACAGGAGATAATGATGTGTTTTGCTATTTTTTCATGTCACTTGCACCATGGAAGAATGCATGGGAACATTGCATTCCCGTTCTTATTATCGACGGTTCTTTTATGAAATCCTACTACAAAGGGACGTTACTTACAGCCTGCAGTCAAGATGCAAACAAACAGATTGTGCCTTTAGCTTTTGGTGTATGTGATTCTGAGAGCACTG